CTCCAGGGTAACCCCCCCCACCTCTCTCAGCCTGTCCTCACAGGGGAGCTGCTCCAGCCCCCTGGTCATTTTTCTGACTCTCCTCTGGACCCGCTCAAGCAGGTCCGTGTCTTTCTTGTGCTGGGCACCCCAGAGCTGGACGCAGTACTCCAGGTGGGGTCTCATGAGAGTGGAGCAGGAGAATCACCGCCCCCGACCTGCTGGACACGCTGCTCTGGATGCAGCCCAGGGTGCAGCTGGCTTTCTGAGCTGCAAGCTCACACTGCTGGCTCACATTCAGTTTGTCACCCACCAGCACCCCCAAGTCCTTCTCCCCAGGGCTGCTCTCGATCCACCCCTCGCCCAGCCTGTGTCTGTGCTTGGGATTGCCCTGACCCAGGGGCAGGACCTGGCACTTGGCCTTGCTGAACTCCATGAGGTTTGCACAGGACCACCTCTCTAGCCTGTCCAGGTCCATCCGGGTGGCCTCCCTGCCCTCCAGAGTGTCGACCACACACACAGCTTGCTGTCATTGTCAAACTGGCTGAGGGGGCACTTGGTCCCACTGTCTATATTGCCAACAAAGCTGTTAAATAGCACCGGTTGCAATACCAGCCCGTGAGGAACACCACTTGTTACTGGTCTACACTTGGAAAGACCACATCGAGACATTGACGGCAACTCCTTAAGTGCAACCATCCAGCCAATTCCTGATCCACCAAGTGGTCCATCCATCAAATCCATATTAGTTCCTCATGTGATGTTGAGTTCATGTCTTTAGCCTTAAAAGGCTTTAAAGACTTGCTTTTTCATAGAAGGATTAAGCTGAAACTTTAGAAGAACTAGTAGGTTTAGGATTGAAAGAAGATACAGGATTTTCTGAAATGGCCTGCTCTCATTTGTACACTGAAATTTTTTCCTTAGCTTTCCTTATGCCAGTCACTGACTGCTTTTATTCTTGCCATCTTTTCTTTAAAATATATATTGTAAAAAATGTTGCGTGATGTCATATGAGAGGCTTTCCGAATATCCATTTTATCCACTTTATCAAGGAAGTTAAGTAGAAGGATGTAGGTGAGTAGTACCTAACACTAAATTTCAAGGTGAGAACCAGAACGTACTCAGCTGATACCACGTTTCTTTCTCAGTCACTTTCCCTTCGCAAACTAATATTTTATTTTTGCTTTGCCTGCCCCTTGCCATTGAGCTGTCCGTGTAGAATTTTTTACTGAGATTTTACAGGTACTTTAGAAACATAAAACAGGGGTGGCCTAACTTTTACACAACAAAAGCTAGAAAATAAAACGTGTTGTGTCAGAGCTGCAGACTTCTGTACTGAAAGATTATGAAGCAAGACCGAGTGGCTCCCTTTATATTCCCCCTCCCCTTTTTCTCCTGAGGATTAAGTGTGCAGCCAATAATTGGTGCTTTTCAGGTGTCTTGCAGTGTCACTGCAGCTTTACAGGGTGTCGATCGTGATTTGAGGCATTAATGTGTGGGCTTAAACAGTCTTTCACATGCAAAATGACCTTAAGAGGTGTTAGATTTACCCTTTAGAGTTTGGTTTAGGGAAAAATTCCAGTTGTAATCACATTCCATAACTCTGTAATCATAGTTAGAGTTGCATCCTTCTACCAGTCTGTTATGCCTGCTGATATCAAGGGATTACACAAAGATCAGAGATAAAAACTTAGTCCACAAATACTATATGGGCTGAGACACTTGTCTGGACTGAAACAGACAGCTGATTTCTGCTGTATGGAATACCCTCCTACACTTGCTGCAAAATATCTGCAGAGATTTAAACTCTTGTCTTAGCAGTTACAGTAACAAAAATAACTTTTATTTTATAGTGGTGTTTCATATTGATGCCCTCACTCGCTATGGCTTTGGTAAAGCCAGTTTCCTTAGTTTTAGATTTCATTGGACTTTTTCAACTGTGCAAATACTTTCGAAAGTCAAGGTACTTGTTTTCAGTGGAAAAAACCCTGGCAAGATAACTTCGAAGTTAATTTTGATGTCCATTTGCCTCTCATGTCCTGTTCCTTTTTCACTAACCAGAATTTAAACTTTTCTCCAGTCCTTTTCTTTAAAATAAATACATAAAAATAATTTAGTGAAGGTCCAGAGTGTGAGGGAAGGGAGTTCAGTTTTCCTTCCCATCACAGTGTTCTTCCAATCCTGGCTTTCTCATCTGGGCTGCATCTGCTGCTGGTTTGAAGGGATGCAGGTGTATTTTAGTGATTTTTTTTTTTTTTTTTTTTTTTTTTTTTTTTAGACCACAGCTGTTAATCGTTGTGGACCAGAGGCATCAGGCAGTTCCTCAGCCCTGCATACAACTGGGAGAGGGGAAGAAAATAGGGGACATGAAATTTCTTGCCTGTTTTAGACCGTGGCTTTGCAAGTTAGCAGGAGTTTGAAGAAGTGGGACTATCTCCTGGTTTAGTTGGCTCTGCTGGTCATTAAGAAACACTTCAGAGCTTTCCAGTATCGGTGAAGTGGGTGACAGTGACAGGCTGTCACTGATAAGACCACTGCTCCCAGCTGTCATAGTGGCTTTGCTTTCTGCAGTTCATCAAACCGTCACAGCAAAAGCACTGTTTGCACTGCTGAGGACTGTAGGTTGTAGAGAAGCCTGCCCCCACCCCCGTCTTGCTGTTGAATTGCTTACGGTCAGCAGACTAAGTAGTTCTCATTGTAGATGGGATGACCCGAAGAGAGAGCCTTGCTGTAGATCGCACTTCATACAGGACTCTGCTTTATCAAGTGTTTTTTCTGAAATTGTACCCTCTTTTTATACTTACTTGTGCTCCACCTTCCGTACTAAACACACATTTGTATGCCTTGTTTTTAATATCTGTATGTGTTTGCAGGTGCTGGTTACAATCTATGCAGACTATATTGCGCCTTTGTTTGATAAATTCATTCCGCTTCCTGAGGGAGAGCTCAAGCAACAAATTGAAGCAATGGCAAAGAGCATTGACTTCCCATTGACGAAGGTGTATGTTGTTGAAGGTGAGATCTTTTTAATAACAAGACTTTATAATTTTGAATTTGTGGATTTTGAGCTTTGATTGTGGGTGCTGTAGTAGGGCAGTTGCTTATATTCCTCAGCTATTGTAATACTTGTCAATGTCTGTACCATTTTCCTTTTCTTGCCTTGAGGTCAGAAAAGTGAAGCTGCATGTACAGCCTTAACTCAGCATCTTGTTGGAAGCATTGTCTTGTCTCCGTGGAATGGAAATGCATAGCACAGTCAGAAATGGAAGCAGCAATCAAGATTTCAATTTTAGAACTTTAAACCAGAGGGAAAAGGGTTGTTTTTTCATCTTTTCTAGTCTCAGTTTAGTATTAATTGTCTCAAAGTCCTTGGTGAAACAGTTGAAAATGTTATGAAAGTTAAAAACAACTATTCCTTCTTAAGAATGTTCACATGGATGGTTTCTCATGGTATGGTTGGATGGACTCATACCTTCTACTTGAGACTGTATTTTTTTCACTTTCTAGTAATGAATTTCTTGTCCTCTTTTCTTAGATCATGGAATGTAGCATGGAGGACCTGCCATGTCACTTCCTCTCCACTTCCGTGTTCATGGAGCACTTTACTGTTTGACATTCCCACTGTTACTCATTTTGCTCCCTTCTGAAGTTGATTTCAGGGACTTTCCCAAATTTTGTTCTGGTTTTGTGCCCTACACGTGAGGATCAGAGTTGTTTTTATTGCCTTGGTGAAAGCAGGATGAGATGGCATAAAGAGCTGAAATGGTAGAATTTTGCTGTAAGAGAGGGTGATGAAGGCTTTATCTAGCCTGGAAGCTGTGACTTTCAAAGCTTTGGGCTGGCCAAATCCAGCCAGTGCTCTGCCTTAGCACAGCCAGGAACTATTAGTATTGATATTCTTAGGGCCCGAGAAACTCCTCTCTTTCCTAGCAAAGTTGAAGCTTTTCAAACTTGAGAGTCAGTACAGAGGCTTGCCAAATATGTAAGTTTTTCCCATATGCCTTGCTGGCTGTGTCCTAGCATTTAACCATGGTGAAAGTCAGATGAGCCAACTGTTGGTACCCTGGCACCTGTGTAGTGTACTACTGCATTGGCTTCTTCAGCACGTCTGCATTTAGCAGCAGCGATCTGCAGTGGAGGGAGGCTGCCAACCCCCCCATTTTCTTTCCTGGCATCCTTCAGTGTTGAGCCAGCACTATTCCCTTCTGACATGGGGGACTGGATGTGTGAACATCCTTTTGCTAGTGTTTTTCTGCACTCTTGTCTTGGCTCTTCCCATTCCAGAACTGACTTCTTAGTAACATATGTAACTAAGCTCTTTAATTTCAGAGTTCATTCTGTAACAGATTACAAAGGTTCCTTCTCTACCAACACTTAGTGGAGGATGAAGTTTTTTATGATCTGCAGATAAAAAAGAACATTGCTACCCTGTGTCTGTTCAGATTTCTTCGCTGAGAAGGGACTGGATGCTGAGGCTTCATGCTCTGACCACTCTTCCTCTGTTGATATGTCTTGGTTTGGTGCTGAAGGTTACCATGACCGTACAATGTCCATGACTTGTAATGGAACAATGGATATTTTGTGTGCTAAGGAATTTATGCACCTCCTATGGTTATAGTGAGAGTTGAAGGCAAACGCCTTCAACTTGAAGTATCTTACCTTTTGCTGAAAAAACAAGAGGAATCCACCTCTTCTCTCAAAGAGACCTCTTTCAGTCCTGATGTTGCAACAGCTCCTGTCCATTGGTAAAAATAGGCAAAGTTTTAACAGCTGCTTTGATCCAGACAGCTTTTTGATCAACTGAAACAGTCCATGTTCCATGGAAAAAGATGAGTTTCTTGGCCCCAAGTATATTGATAGTAGAAACAGACCATGATTCACCTGATCTAGATAAAAGTAGGTGTAAAAAAATGCCTAATTCAAACAAAAATAATTTTGAGGGACTATCTGATACCTGTAGTTCATCTCTTCATCTTTTTCTTATGTTTTTGACATCTTCCTCCATATCTGTTTCAAATCATCTTTGCTCACACATTGAAAGAATTCTAAACGTATTCGTCACAGGTTCTTTGCCAGGAGGGCAGCATGTGTTCTATGCAGAATGCTCTTTCCACTCTGAACTGAAATTGCAATAGAAACTGATTTTCTTCTGGATATTAGATCTTAACATGACTTCTTTTATATTTTTAGTGATTTTTAGTGATTATATGTTACAGATGAAAAAAATTATTTCTCCATTGGAGAATGTAAATGAGATTATCATCACTTAGATAACTTTAAAATATGCTTCAACCTGCAAACTCATTTGCTTGGGTTTGTCTACCGTTCATTTAGGGGCTTTGAGAATTCCTTTGGAAGAATATGTTCTATGTAATATTGCATAGTCTTCAGTGTCTGAGATTATTCAGATCATGGTCTTTAATGCAAATTTTCCCCATCAGGTTCTAAGCGTTCTTCTCATAGCAATGCTTATTTCTATGGATTCTTCAAGAATAAGCGGATAGTACTCTTCGACACCCTCCTGGAAGATTATTCTGCATTGAACAAAGAGCCAGCAGAAGGAGAAGATGGTGAGAATGAAGAGGCAAAGTCTAAAACCAAAGTGAGTTCATCTTTGTTTTTCATTGTGATATTTACATTAACTTCTTGGTGAGATATTCCCTTGTGTTTTCTGAATGTATTTTAAAGGTCCTGAGTGAGATGCTAAACCCCAAAATCTTATGATTTCAACAGCAAAGTAATCCTGAGCTGCTGCTAACTGGAATTTCTGGGGCTGTGTGAGTTATGCAGATAGCACCAAAGAGACCACAGAAATCCACGGGGGCTTTAGCAGGACATTGGTTCCCTGCATGTAAAAAAACAGGCCTTCCTTGCAATTGTTTGAATAAGGTTTTAGCTAGTGTTCCTTCTCTTGGGACTGCCACACTGTGGTGGTTCACGGCTGGCGGGGTTTTGGTACGGGTTTTGTTAGCAGGGCAGGGGGCTACAGAGGTGGCTCC